TAAGTGAGACTGCAAATGTGAGAGGCGGCTAAGGCGCGTACAATACTAAAATAACTCATAATAAACATACAAGTAAAAATAATAAAGGTGATTTAATCATATAATATCCTGTTTTTCTCAAATCTGCAATGTTTTAATTTCGTCAAACTGGTAATGACGTCAATTTTGGCAGAAGGGGGGGAGGGGTAATTAAGAAATGACGATAGGATGATTGTAGGTCTACAGTCTGAAAAAATCGATGACGTAATTTGTGGACGGCCCCTTAAACTATCGCACGACTGGTTAGTCTCGCTTTGATTTCGTTGAGCTTATATGGAGGTGCGCACATTATTCGAATTTTAGTTGTGCGACTAAAGAGTTTGCGAAACAATAGACAATCGCACAATAGTTTAGTCCCGCTCTTAGAGAAAGTAACATCCCTTTATCGCTAAGTCTAATCAAGTGCTTGTTACATTTCTATATATTTAGACATGTTTTATTGATTTTAGTAGCGATATTGCTATATGGAAGTTTCTTTAATTATATTAATTTATTTGGTGGCTATTAAAGTGCCCCAACTTAATACACCTAAAATTATGTTCCACTAAATTGTGTTCTGGTGCAATATTCCTTTAAAAAGTGTTTCTCCAGATATATGTTGGGTTTTACGACTGTACTGAGTTGTGAGTTAATATGTTCTGAGTTACTGTGATGTGCGTTGTAAATTATTGTGTTGTGAGTTAATATGTTCTAAGTTACTGTGCTGTGAGTTATTATGTTCTAAGTTATTGTATTGCGAGTTAATATGTTCTGAGTATTTATTAGTGTGTACAAAGGTTACCTGCAGTAAGGCTGTCCGTTGGCGTATCTGCAGACGCCGCGGTCGCTGCAGTGCGCGGCGGAGCAGGCGCGGCACTCGCGGCCGGCGCGCGTTGAACCCTCACCCGCGTCTAGTGTTGTGTCCGGACACACGCATCTGAACGAATGATTGAATGAACGAATGAATGATTGAATAGAAATATATAATATTAGAAGTATAAAATTATGCATGTTCCTACGAATGATGGAATGACAGAAAGGTTGAATCTTAGAAACATATAATGAAACGATTTCCCTAAGAATGAATGATTTCATCTCCCTTATCCCTGCACTGCTTGGGGTCGGCAGACAAGGTAAAGCTGAATGATTGAATGATTGGTTGAATTAATGATAGAATGATGAAGAGAATGAACGATTGTTACACAGAATGATTGGTTATGAGTGTTTTAATGGGCATAATACTAGAATAATTATCAACGTACTTGAACGCGCCCCATATATTGGTGCAGGAGGCGAGCTGGTGACAGTCGTTCAGGTCTGATGAAGCACATTCATCCACATCTGGAAAAAGTAATATATTAAATCAGTTTTTGTAATGACAATGAAAGCCCTCACTAAATGAGAAAAGTAACCATGGTAACTTAGACTCTGCTATTGCCTGGGAATTTAAATTACCATGGTAATCTTGATTCTTTGTTGCTATAGGCTTGTATTTTTTGTCCCTTTCTCGCATAACATTTTTTTAACTTAACTCTCCCCCCTTTCTTTAACATTTTGAAAATACATCGCCTATGGCGTATATTAGAGAAGGGGTTTTTATTAAAAATTTGGATTTTGCAAAAATATGCTGAGTTTGCTAATATCTTCCATAAAAATGTGTGTGTTGAATGTGAAATGTAGTATTAGAGCGTGCACACCTTTGACTAAACTATCGCACAACAGATAGTTTTGCAGAACAACTGTTTAGTTGCACAACTAAAAATCGAATAGTGTACCTTAATACGCTCAGAGGAACCAAAGCTAGACTAAACAGTTTTGCGATAGTTCAGTCAAAGGGTGTTTTAACAATACCTGTTAACGGCAGCACACTGCCAGCAGGACTGTCCACCCATAATGCTGAAGCCCCAACATTGTTGGAACGACGTCGTATGACCCCTAGTAAGTGCTTCTGTATGTCACTTGCGACTGCTGATCGGAGCGTTTCCGCTGTTTCTTGCATCTATTGTTAATAAAATAAGTCTACCTAAAATGGTATTTTATAGAAGACAGGTGGAAACTCCCCCTCTCTTCTAAGAATCAAACAATGCAATAGAAACCATCACCAGCTCACTACACGTCTACACCGAGGAGCTCGGAGTCACCCTTGCAATAGAAAACTGCTTAATAAAAGATATTAATAGGATCTGACCCTCGACTTTGCTTAGATTTAAGCAATGCCTATGCTATGTACTGAATTGAATAGGTCAAATTCTGACTGTCTGACAGAATATGTCCTATTTATATTACAAATTCGTCTTACTGTTATTAGGATAGAATTTAAATTTATTCTGAAACTTTGAACACTTTACTTTGTTAATGCAATTTACAAAAGTCCAATTTTAATGGATATTAAACGTGTCTTATTCAAAACGCTATATATTGTCCTTTCATAGCTATTCGTCTATTACTGGAGAGTTTAACGGATCTTTAGCGTAGATTTGAATACGATACTTTAGATAGCTTTGAAAATTGTATAAACATGTGTTAAATTAATCAATTATTAATGTATTTTTAAAGTAACTAATACATTATTAAGTAATTTATCAATATAAAACTCACCAAGACAGTGTAATTCACGAAAACTCCTTGATTGTGTGCATCACCTTGATGGATGGAGTTCACTGAACCGCTCACGAAATCATCAGAGAATGGAGTCATAGAGAACGCTGAGTCGATCTGAAAAAAAAAACAAGGAATTTCTAAAAGCAATACAAGTAATATTTTGAAGGGGAAACAAACATTTGTATTAAAACATCAGTCGCTGTTTTTTATATTCTAGAGGGACGTTTATTTTCTTGATTAAATAACTTACTGGTCACTGCAAAATAAAACCTCTTTGGCTGACAAATGTGAATGCAGCCAAAGAGGTTGAATACTGGCCACTGAGACATTGTATGGTTTAAGTATTTAAAAAAAAACAGTAATTAAGTATTAAAGACAAGGTGATAAAAAAACAATAGAAGAATGAGACGCGTAAAAGATGTAATCGCGGTATAGTTTCGTAATTTCTAAAAATGTACTTCAAATAAAGTTTATGTTGGTTAAAAAAAAAATGTTTTGTATTTTTGGAGGGCGCGCTGTCGGTAATAAGTTAAACTCACCGCTCTCACTGCTTCGTAGCTAAGTTGTTGGTAAGGTTCTGAGTCTTTGTCTGATAACTTGTTGTCCCAGGCCACCTGGAGAATTAGTTAAAATATATCATTTTTAAACATACGGCAATATCATAATCTATCACACTTGATTCAGTTACTACCGGATTATTCGCTTAATGGACACGCTAAGAACTACCCTTGATCTTGATTCAACATAAATTATACATAAAAACAAAAAAAGAAACTATAAAAAGAGTTTGCTACAATAAGTATGGTAATATATATTATGTTAAAGAAGGATTTGATTTTAAACATATTATTTCTCCAAACCTGTCAATGTTTAAAAAAAGTTTTTAGGACCAATTTAATAAATACCTTTCTATCATACAATCTGTCGACCCTCAAATTGAGTAACAAGGAGATCACACGCCGACAGGGGTCCCTGTGCGTGCGGCGAGCGTACCCCGGCCGGCATTGACAACTAGAGATACCTACAATATGAGATTAATATTATTTACCTTATCATACCTAGCACTTATATATAAGTGGAGTTGGCAGTCACTCATATCTTTCAACATTATTTTTAGGACTGTCTTACCTAACACATGAAATAGGTCACATGCCAAACTATATTAGATGCAAAAGGCGTGAAAGAAACAAAACAAGATATTGGACTTATTAATATATCACACGGAATCAATAAATAAGAACAATCGCAGAAGAATGCAGTGGGGAATATCTATCTATATTTTTACGACATTAAAAATAGAGTAGCATATAATAACCCGCGTGCATCAACTATTTTCCCGTTGAAGTCTTGTCTAGAGATTATTAGGAACAAACACGCAAACAGACAAATAGTTTGTATAAAATCTGATAAATATGAAAATGCTATTATATCTGATGATGAGAATAAAATCGAGAGATTAGAAAAAAAATATTTTTATCTTACCTGATTCCGTCCTGCATTTTTCGTTCTGCGTCTGATCGCATGTTGAATCATCACCAACTATACACGTATCTATTCTGTAGATGAAATTAAATTAATTTTTTTATTATAAAAGCTCTTTGTTAGAACCTAATAAAATGATAAAAAGCAATTATTAGTAGTAAAGAATTATGTAATTCAAGACAAGTTTGAAACGGAATTACAAGAATGGTTTAAAATGCTGACATTCAGTTTTCAGACGGAGAAATTAGTTTGTATGACTTCACCATTACGTATCATAATTTTTTTAAATTATGATGTTATTAAAAGTAATACACAACACAAATGACAAAACTACATTTTGATGGACTGGAATTTCTACAATTTCGATAGGAAGTAAACCAACAAAACCCTATATTTCCCTAAAAGAAGCAGCCTTACTTGGCTAATTTATCGGTTTTGTGTATGCTTGTTCTATTTTCCTATGTATTTGTGTGATTGAATTAGCTGTTGTGTATACTTTTATAAAAAATAAATACAAATAAACGCGGTATAAAGTTAAACTTAGTAAAAGCTGAGTATGAGCAAAATGTGTAGTAAAATTTGCTTATACTCAGTTTATTCATAAGTTTAACTTTATACCGAGTTAATTTGTAAGGCTGTTGGTATGTTTCGGACCCACTCCCGATAGCAAAAAAGAAACCCAATTTAAATTCGTAAAATGATGCAATTATAGTCTAAGATGTTGATGACATAATATCTCGTTTGTGATGTGATACTCACCTCACAGTGGGTTGTGGTCTTCGGAATGTTTGTGGACGCGTATGTTGTTGGTGCGTGGCGTGAGGAGCGTGCGGATGC